ATTAACATAATTATTTTAAATATTTATTAATTAATTATAACTATTATATTAAATAATTTTTAATAATATAATATAAATATTTAATTTTATTATAAATAATTTATATATGTCTACATATTTAAAAATCAGTTAATGTTATTTAATTTTAATATATATTTTTAAAATTAATTCTAATTAATATTAATAATAATTATTTAATTTAATAGTTTAATGTATATATATGTAAAAGTCCTATTGAATTTTTTTTTTATAATAGAGATTTAAGTTTGTTTAGTATTTGTCATCTCACATATGTTTATTGTATTACAACCACACATGAGTGAGGGCAAAGACATATCTAGAACTCACACATTTCTAGCCGACAAACTTATCATCAAATATAGCTCTTTGAATATCAAATCAATAGAAGGGGGGAGCCGTAATCCTTGCCCTCACTCATGTCATGATCATTATCATTATTAGATAGCTATTAATGTCCTGTGGCCTCTAGTAGCTATGAGTTATAACTGAAATGAATTGAATTGAGTATTATGTTTAAGATCATGTGTTTTATTTTCATATGTAATTTAAAGAAATTTGAACATGATTTGAGTTTTAAACTTATGTTTGATTTATTTATTAATTTTTTTTATCAAGTTCAAATCATAATCAAGAATCTACCAAGTCAGATTGAAAATGTGCAAAATCGAAAGAGTAAAATAAAGTCTTATTTTTTTTAAAATCAAGACATAATTCACTCTGATGCGTGCTAGAAGGTCCGTAGCGGTAAATTAATGAATTATCATCTTAGCGTAGCACAAAAATCCATAAAAAACACATAGAAGTAAAGTAAGCAAGAAGAGACACATTAACTTTTTACATAGAAACTCCTAAAAAAGGAAAAAAATCATTGTGCCTAGTTCGGTTAAAATAATCCACTATGATGGTGCGCGTACAAATCTACTCTTCTCATTAATTAGGGAAGATGGAGTTATAAAGTTGATCATTGTAAATAACCGTAGTCTGACTGTAATTAATGAAGTTCTTGGTGATAGTAGGCTACAAGAGCCGTAGTCGATTGCTATGAAGGCAATAGTCTGTTGTCAATAATGTAGAGGGTAGTTGTGACGTTAGTTTTTCATATTTGTCGTAGTTGATGTCTCACCAATGTGCTTGTGTGTAGCTGCTTTTTTCCCTTTTCTTTTTAGTTTTTTAGGGTTTAGGGTTTAGGGTTTAGGGTTTTAGGGTTGGGTTTAGGGTTTAGGGTTTAGAGTTTGGGGAATAGGGTTTAGGATTTAGGGTTGTTTAGGGTTTAGGGTTTAGGGTTTTGGGTTTTGGGTTTTGGGGTTTGGTGTATGGGGTTGTGTTAGGGTTAGGGTTTAGGGTTTAGGGTTAGGGTTTAGGGCTTTTTAGGGTTTAGGGTTTAGGGTTTAGGGTTTAGGGTTTAGGGTTTAGGGTTTAAGGTTTAGGGTTTAGGGTTAGGGTTTAGGGCTTTTTAGGGTTTAGGGTTTAGGGTTTAGGGTTTAGGGTTTAGGGTTTAGGGTTTAAGGTTTAGGGTTTAGGGTTAGGGTTTAGGGCTTTTTAGGGTTTAGGGTTTAGGGTTTAGGGTTTAGGGTTTAGGGTTTAGGGTTTAGGGTTAGGTTTTAGGGTTTAGGGTTTAGGGTTTAGGGTTCAGGGTTTAGGGTTTAGGGTTTTTATGGTTTAGGGTTTAGGGTTTTGGGTTTAGGGTTTTTCGGGTTTAGGGTTTTGGGATTAGGGTTTAGAGTTTAGGGTTTAAGGTTTCGGGTTTAGGGTTTAGGGTTTAGGGTTTAGGGTTTTGTTTGCATTCTTAGAAACCTTAGGCTGGTATTAAATTTATTCTTTCTATAGGTTCAATACTTCCTTTAAAATTATGGTATCAGAGCCTAACATAGAAAATGAAATTCCTACTTCGGTTCTCCAAGAAAATTCGGTTTTACGGTTTAGGTTTTAGGGTTTAGGGTTTCGGGTTTAGGGTTT